ATTTCAACATTTTTTTTCCTTCTCGAAATCAATAACTTTTCGAAAAACAACCACCAATATTAAACTCCACGTTGGTTCATAAAGGATTATATTCTGACCGATCCACTCATATCACACTCTATTCTCATCACCTACGCACCATTCACTGTTCACAGAAGTGAATACTCATCAGAAAGATTACGATCTATTCACTGCTCAAAGCATTCTCGCTGACCACCGAACTCACAAAAACATCGAATATCCAATGCTGAACTGATATGAAATGGAATGATAAAAAGACGTAATTTTTAATCTTAAATTTAATCAGCAATAAATAATCCAACGAACCATTAACGAGCACTGATCGATCGGTGAAACGAGTTGTGGAATTGGTTTGCATTTGTTTCTATCCGTTAGAGGTGTCGAAGTCGTAACGTTGCTTCTCCACTCCAGAGAAAACTTCATTTGATTCGTTTCCAGTCTGTAGTTCTCACCGTCACACAACGCCTCCGAAAGTTGCGTCATTGCGTCTGGTCGAAGTCGAACTGCGATGCCATCCTCAAACATTAGACAGGGTCAAGTACAAGCAAACCATTCAATGCTAACAATAATCATTTCACTGCTCTACAAACATGATCGATAAATACAAAAACTAACCTCAACCACACTTATACTCAAATCCGAATCACCAGACTTCAGCGCTCCATCAATAACTATGAATGATGCTCCAGTTACTAAAATCACCCATTGATATTGACAATAACACGAAATTCAATTCAATTCACAATGCCCCAATCATCAACANAAAAAAAAGAAGACATAAACATAAACATTCTCCAATTCAAAATGCTGCATATATTTATGCAATGGGTCAAAACTGAAGAAATACAAAGCAAAGTTACATTTTCTTGTTTCCACCCCCGTCGTGAACACTTGAGTTCGATAGTTACCAGTTTCCTCATCTTGCTCACAAACCAAATGACTGTCTGCAGACGCATTGAAGTCCAATGCAAACGCGATCATATTTCGATTTGACTCCACTAGTTCTTTCAACTGAAAATTGCCTGCATCACTCACTAACAACAAAACTGTTTACTAATCATCAAAAATCGTCACAAGTTGCTGAACATTCACAAACGCTTAATCCCTTAATATGACTTTATTTACCTCTTTCCTCGCCCATTTCGGTACAATTAACTTCGATTCATTATCTTGTAAATCCAGTCTACTTCCATGAACCATCAACATACGATATGACCAATTTCTAAAGTCTGTGAATACTTTCAGTACACTCGTATCACTCTCTGCTCTATAGACCGGCTTACGTTGGCGACGATTCACTATCGGTGTTGGGTAATCTGAAGAGTTAAAAAAAAAGAAGTTTACAAATCACATCAATCNGAATGAAACACAGTTGTAAAATCCATACATGAGGCTTGCAGTCCAATCCTGTACAGTAAACGATTTGGAATAGCCAAAGCCCAAACCGCTTCACTTGGATGAATGAAGCATGCGACAAGGAATGGTGATGATGGTATGATCAAATTATCAAAACACTGAAACAACAAACATACAATTTCATAAAGACTAGAATAATACACGGAAGTGAATCATTTATAAACTGCTTCGGATGCAAATGAAGTAAAAGGAATAATATTCGATGGTAATTCAACAACCACCAAAAACACAAACCTGAAGAGTTGGTCTAAATAGAAGAATATCTCTCGTGATGAAATCATTCGACTGCTGCTTGATCAGGTTAGTAGAATGAAACGACGGTACACGGATGTGTGCGGCACGAATGCCCATCCTCTCTTCGAATGACTCATTCTGTGCTTTCAATGAGCATTCGTAGATTTCACGTATCTGAAATCCTCTAATTTCACCTTTATTTGTCTCGGCCCAACTATCATTTCAACAATCCATAATTTCATAAATCAATCCATCAGAAGCACTACTAACCCGTCGTATCGCATCAATAGGTAATTCGATCGGTCGATTATTGCTCTCACTGCTATCATCGTCCTCATCAGCTAGATCATAAACAATCAGAATTTCATCAAAGCCAACCAGTGACATCCCACATGAACTTATACACATCACCCGACCAAGACCACAGCATGTTACTGAAATAAACAAAACAACTCACACCTCTTCAAAAACTTCAAACAAACGNCGTCGAACGTCAACATCATTAAACTGTAAACATATCAAGAAAATTTTTGATATAATATAATGATATCAACAGTCACGCAAGTATAATAACACAACAACCGTATAATAATAACAATAATGAAAGTAGTGGCAATTCAAAAAATCTATCAAAAATAACGAATTCAATCAACTTACAATTACAAATTTTTACATTGCACCAAAGATTTCGTGAAATAGTGATTACGATCGATTTATTATCGTTCAATTTTTGTCGTAATTCATTTATATCGTCCACTTTTCCAATTGATCCATCTGATTTACGTGTGTACAAAGGATCATTCGGCTCTTTTGGTAACAAACAGACATTTTCCTCCTCCATACGCAGTTCTTTCACTCGTCTTACGACACTTGCTCGCTTCTGAAGAAAATTGTAAGATGCATTCCAACCAGAATGAAACATTTACATCAAATGATAAGCTAATTCATATTACTCGCTGCAATAATTCCGAGATTCTCAAAGAGTTACAATTAATATAGACTGATTGTTGGTATGACGTGCAAATCAAGCTTAGCTTAGTGCCATTTGAAACAAAATTAAGTGGCGTAATCACAATCACCACATTCTACTCATCCCATCCTTCTCTCTGACTAAAGTCGAAATTNGTCCAAACATGCGATCAATCAATCAATCAATCACCTTTTTCGGTTTCGGTATCAAACTGCTCGGTTCGGGTGCATTCGCAATACTCGGTGTCGCACCACCGCCACTATCTGACAAACTTCCTTCGCCAGGATTCACGCCATCCAGAAACTTAACACTTCGTTTCGGGTGCGAGGCAACTTCTCCTTCAAGCTCCGACGACGCTCCGGTTCGTTCGCCACTACCTTCTGCTTCGGGATTCTCTTCATTAGAGTCCGCACAAGGCATCGTCGTTTTAACTTTCAGAACTGATTTTGTGACTCGTCTGATATCTGCAGGTGTTAGTGACGATGATGTGGAAGTGCCCGGCTGATCCGTCGAATTCGTCGATTCAGCACCACTGAAAATTCTTTCCCAAAAAATCATTACCATTACTATCACCTCGAATTGATCCACTTAAATAAATCATTGATAATAATCCATGTAATTCGGTCTCGTGTTGATGAAAACAAGAAATCAACAGCCGACCTTTCTCTGTCGGCAATTGCCTTCTCATATTCTGCAATCCTTTGCAATGTTTGTAAGCATGGCTCACATACTTTGAACTTTTTGCTTGCATCGTTCATGTACGGTAGCACGGCCTGAATGATAACAAGCAGCAAGTAAACAACAAAAGTCAAAATCACAACAAGAAATTTCAATCCAGTCGATCTAATATTTCACCGAATAGCACTGAGAAATGATCACTTCCAAATTCGCTTTGCATTCCCCAGAAACAACGTTAATTCAAACCTTATGCGCTGAACACTGTGCACACAACACTCGTCCACATGAACGGCAGTGATGACGTCTCAGAATCAACGTGAATTTTGCACAGCACAACATACACGAGGCTGCTTCAGAATCTGCTATCCACACCGGTTTCACCTCAAATCAAACCATTTAACAAAGTACATTCATAGCATTTCTATTCTTTGAAAATACTGCGAGAATTTTGAAAAAAAACCTCTGAAGATACAAATTTACTTCGACTAAAATTCGAATACTTCAGTTCAGAATAAAATCTCAAAAGCAAACGAAACAAAACAAGATCCGAACCGACCTTCCCAAGTTGCAGCTCAGATTCGGTCAACCGACTCATGTCCAGTAACATTTCGTTGCTAATATCATGCGTACTCGCAACCACCGATATTTCCTGCACGCCTTCAGCCAACCGCCGAATGTTCGCCTCGGTGCAAACCGCCATATCGTCCGACCCTTCATCCATTACCACCTCTTCAGATGCCTCTTCACCCTCTTCTTGCTGCTGCTCCTCGCCTTGTTCCTCTTCATTGCCGTCTTCTTGCCCTCCATCACCATCAGTTGGTTTTGTTCCAGCCTCATTATCAGCATCCTGTTGATTTTGCTCATCTGAACCTTCTTCTTCTTCTCGATCTCGCATTTCTTCTGCGCCCGAAACTTTCTCCCGAACTGCTATCGTTTCCATTTCTCTCGCTGGATTAAGTAATCTCTCTATCGGAGCTTCCAATTCAGAATTTCTAATTGCTTCATCAGCATATCCTTTCACTTCATCTTTATCCTTTGCCACATCTTCACTTTCTGCATCTGTATGATCTTAGGTTAACATTTAAGAAAAGAAAAAATCAATTGTTCTAATGTTTACAATACAAAAATGAAACAAAATACTTTCGGTGTGATTATAACTGACATTCTACGAATAATTCAAACCCAACGAACGATGTCATGAAACGATATTTGTAAAATATACACGAAAATTGAAAGCAATAAAAAGCATTTCTGAACTGGAAACCCACTCATT